AAAGTTAGTTCTATTATTGTTAATGCTAATACTGCTAATGTTAGTTCTAGTACTGTTAATGCTAACACTGCTAATACTAGTTCTATTATTGTTAATGCTAATACTGCTAAAGTGAGTTCTAGTACTGTTAATGCTAATACTGCTAATGTTAGTTCTAGTACTGTTAATGCTAATACTGCTAAAGTTAGTTCTATTATTGTTAATGTTAATACTGCTAATGCTAAATTAATTACTGTTAATACAATTATACGTCGTATATCAACAATTCAATTGGAGCCAATTAAATATGACTGTCAAAGTCAACTGACCTTAGAAAACAGAAAAACTGCTAAAACTTTTCAAATTTACAGGTATTGAGCTAAACTTTTGGAGTGGTAGTAGCTGTGAGTCATCCCTAACATGTACAGTGAAGGCTAACTAATCACCTGGGATCTTCTGGGATCTCAAGAATAATAAGAGTTTTATCAAAACATGTCCAGTGGTTTGTGGGATATTTTGCTAAATAATAAATAGGGGTGCACCGATTGCAGTTTTCTGGCCGATCACCGATTTCTAAAAAGTCTGACCTGCCGATACCGATTTTGTTTAATGAGTGACACTGTCAGGTGTTACAGCAATTGTGTGACTTTAAGGTCAGTTGGTTGTGGCAGCCATCTTGAAGTGGGTTAGCTCCTAAAGTTGTTTTTTTATTTCTCATCATAAAATGATCGTAATCTAAAATTCTGGCATGAAAAGATATTAATAGGACATTTTATTTCCTGTTATTAATGACACCGACATTTTTTTTTTTTTTACTTTGCCATACAAAAGAGGACATCGAAACCTTATAGGAGATTGAACATTATAGAGTTTATAATTATTTGGACTCTTATTAAATGTAATTTTATGTATACATATTTTACTTGCTAAATTGGAACCCCTGAGCACTTTCTTTAAATGAATAGGTTTTTATTTTATTTTAAGTTGTGTTTCTTTGTTAAAATGCATCATCTTTTGAGCTGTAGGACTTTACTGTTCCTGCTCAAGTGTCTTATCATCCCTACACTCCTCCTGCTCCTCAGCTATATTTAGATGAGCAGGAAACTCGATGAGACTCTCAAAGGTCGTAGATACCTCCCAGACGTGCCAAGTAGCGTGAAAAGACGTGTGAGCTTTAAAATCACAAGCTGTGGTTGCAAAGTGTCCGCCAAATGTGTCTGACCTTTTCGGCTTTGGCCAAGAAGATCCAGAGTTTTCTCCACGTTGTGAATTTCTTCCCGTCACTGAAATTGTAAGCCATTTCCTTGCTGGCGTATCTGGACACCAGCGGTGAACGGTACTTCATGAACTCGTCGGCTCCCGCCATGGTTGTGTCCACTAATATTACAGAAAATATCTACTTAAACGAGCTACACAAGCCACACTTAAGAAACGACCGCTGCAGCGCTGCTCGTAGCGTCACGTGAGACGAACTTCCTGTTTTTACGACAGTTGAAGTTGTCGTACGGCACGAGGGATTGTTGTTGCGACGCTCAACGGCTGTGTTGTGTTCCTTGAGCTCTCCGTCTTCTCGCTTAAATTAGTTTTGATACGAAGCTATTTTTTTTTTTTAGCCTTAACGGCTCGATAAATGTTCGTGAACAGAAATGAGCCTGGCTGCAGAAGAACAAAGACATTTCGGAGGTTTTTGGAAATAGACATGCAGCCCATGAGCAATAAGAAAATGGAGGAAGGCAAATCTTAGATCCTGTGACGTCCCAAACAGCGTGTTTTAGGTTCGTATATTTGTATTTTTTCTGTCGAGTGTGATTATGTAACAGTTTAGATGCAGTTTCTGGTAGCTAATGGATTTATATTTGGAAAAGCGTGTTTAACGTTGTGTTTGTAGCATGGCTAGCCAACATTTGAGGTTACAACTTAAAACAGCTGATTTTATAGCACTTTTACTGTTTACATAATTACATATTTGGTTTAACGCCACAAAAGTCATAAACTGGAAACCCAAATTACAGCACAAATATTTATTAACAGAGACTGAAGCAACACGTGGCTTCACAATGTTAAAAAAAAAAAACATCGACCTCAACAAAATAAGACAGTTCATGTTCTGCTGCTTGTTTAAATTTTTGTTCACATTAAGACATCTACAGGAATAATAACACAACCCTTTTGAGCTGAAAGGATAAAATGTATCTCTGTATTTTGACACTGAGGATCAATCGTTTATGGGAAGAGGCATTTAATGTGACATGATGAGGGGCTCAGAGTTCTTAACTGTAGTGTTAAAGAACCAGCTCTGGCTCAGCCCTGGTTTAGCACTGGAAACTTTTAATGGAAAAACACTTTAAACAGTTGGTGTTGAGTTAGTGTTATTTTTTTCTGTGTTAAAGTCAGAGCTTACGGTCTTAAAAAAGGAAAAGGTTCTGTGAACTCTGGCTCCAGTCCATCACTGGAACTTGTTTGGTAAAATAAAATAACCCTTTGCAAACCACGCAGTAAGCCATTGATGCATCTGTGAATATAAAGTTACAGTTCTCTTTAATATACTGTACATGTGTGTCAGTGATTTCAGCAAATGTTCAGATGATGGTGCTGATTAAAGAAGAAGCTCCTGAAGAACAGAGGTCTGTTGTGGACCAGCAGGACCCAGAACCCCTCCACATAAAGAAGGAAGAGGAGAAGCTATGGACCAGTCTGGTGGTAGAGAGGCTCAATGTGAAGGAGGAGACTGATGCCACCAGCTTTTCATTCACTGCAGTTCCTTTAAAAATTGAGGATGATGAAGAGAAACCTCTGTTCTCCCAGCTTCAACAGCACCAAGCTGAAGTCAGAGATCTTCCAAGCAGCACCTCAGCTGACAAGATGAAAGCAGCAGCTGGTGAAGAGTCCTGTGGAGGAGCAGAAACTACAACCCCAGATCTAAATACTCATGGAGACGATTCAGACTCTTCAGAAAATGAAGTCAGTGAAGATGAGGAGGAGGAGGATCCTGGCTTTCAGCTGAAACACTTTTCAAACTCTGGGTCAAAAACTAAAGACACGGATAAAGACTGGGAGTCTTCTCCCAGCAGTGTTTCTGAGGCAGGTGTAAACTCTGTCAAAACCACAAATGGACAGAAGCCATTTTGTTGTGAAAATTGTGGAAGAATGTTTAGCCACAAGAGAGATTTTAAAAAACACATTAGAATTCACACAGGACTGAAGCCATGTTGTTGTGATTTGTGTGGGAGAAGATTTACTACTAATAACTATTTAAACAGACACATGCGAGTCCACTTGGCACAGAAGCCATTTTGTTGTGAACTGTGTGAGCTAAGTTTTACCAGAAAGAGCAATTTAAACAGACACGTGAGAATCCACACAGGACAGAAG